CGGTGCCGTGCTGGGCGGGGGGCCCGAGCCGCCCCCGTCCCGCCGCCCCCGGGGCCGGGGGAGGGACCGGAGCGGGGCTGCCCGGCGCTGCAGCGGGCGGAGCCGGGGCTCGGCGGGGCCGCCTCCCGGTCGAGCCCAGCCGTACCGTACCGTGCCGTGCCGTACCGAACCGAGCCGAGGCGAGCCGGGCGGAGCGGAGCCGCGCCGCACCGGGCGGCACCGGGCGGCACCGGCGGTACCGGCGGCCCCGGCGCTCTCCGCGGTGCTGAACGGCTCCGCCGCGCCCGCAGGACGCGCCGCCGGCGGCCGGCGGCCCGGCCCGGCCCGGAACGGCTCGGCCCGGCCCCGAGCGGCCGCGGGGGATGGAGCCTTTCCTCGGCTGCACCGGCGCCGCGCTCCTGCTCTGCTTCAGCTACGCCGGTCTGCGCCCGGTGGAGGCAGGTACGGGCGGCCGGGCCCCGGGAGCGGCTGCCGGGGCTGTGGGGAGGGGGCTCGGTGCCGGGAGAGACCCCCGGGGGGGAGCGGCGAGGGGACGGAGTTTGGGGGCGCCGGGACTTTGCCGGGAATTGGGTGAGGAAGAGGATTTGGGACACGCAGCCCCGCGGCACCGGGCTCGGGCAGCGGCGGGGAGGGAGGTGTGGGAAGCGGGAGAGGGAGCGGAGCCCCTCGCCCTGCGCTGGGCAGGGGCAGGGGGAGGATTTGGGCACCTGAGCAGCGACCCCCGTTCGTGTCACGGAGCTGAACCGGAGTGGAGGGGACAGAGCCGGGTCTGCTCTGCCAGTGCCCCTTCCCGGCTGCCCAGGGCCCAGCCGGGCTCTGCTGGGAGCCCTGTGAGTGCTGGGGAAGCAAAGTGGTCCCAGAGGAACCCCCGTGGTCCCAGAGGAACCACGGTGGTCCCAGAGGAATCACCTCTCCAGGGGCACTGCACATCCTGGCCACAAAAGCCAGGCCCCTCCGAGCTGAGCAGCTCACCTGGAGCGGGGGATCTTTGCTGAAGGCAGTGGTCCCTGGGGCTGGATCTAATTTTGGAGCTACCAGGATGGAGCCGAGTCCACTCCTGCCTTCACTGGCCCCAGCACCCCCTGTGTGGGTGTGAAGTGGGCAGTGCTGGTGGAGCTCCCCAGCCCAAACCAGCTGAGGGCTGTCTCCTGCCCTGGCTGCAGGATGTTGGTGGAGCAGCTGCTTTGATTTGCAGCCTGCTCATTGCCAGGATATCTTTCGTTCCAGGAGGCTGGGGGTGATTATTAGGGGTGCAGAGCTCCAGGGAGTGGAAATTCTTTCTCTCCAGCCATCCCTGGAAGTTGCTGGAGTTACATTTGGGCTGCAGCAAGCCCCGGATGCCTTCAGCTCTGCCACCCATCCTTGGCCAGGCATCGCATTCTGAAGTTGCTGTTTCACAACTGCCAGATCCAGGGAGATTAATGAAACATCCCCAAAGGGAGGGAGCCACGAGGAAAACACCGCGGCACAATGGAGGCGTCTGCAGTTGTGACAGCACTCGGGGTTTCTGCAAACTGGGGCACTTCCCTGCTCTTCCTTATCCTTGGATCACCTCGCTTGGCATCCCAGAGTAAACAGGGAGCTGTGTCCCTGCCCATAACCACCTCCTGCTCCTGCCTGGGCCGGGAGGTGTCCGTGCCACCTTCCTGGGAGCTCAAGGGGAGCTGGGTGACTTTGGGGTGGTGCCATGCACCCTCACTGCCTCCTCCTCCTGTGCCACGGATCCTGATGAGCTCTCCCTGTACCAGGTGAGGCAGAGGATTTGTGCTGGCCCTGTTTTCCAGAGCAGGAACAGAGGGATGAGGGCACAGAGTGATTTTCCCAAGGTCACACAGAGGTAGTGGCAGTGTTGCCACCAGCTCCGTGTCCCCAGCCCTGCTGATGAAGTGGCCGCAAGGCCACCAAGGCACACGAGCCCAGAGTCATTGGAAAAGCCCATGGGGAGAAAATCATTCCCAGGTAGGGATGGAGGCTCCAGGGTGTGTCCCCTTTGGACCCAGGGCTTGTGTGAGTGGGTTTAAAATAATTCCTGTCATGAGAGATTAAAGCTGTCATTCCCAGGAGGGACTGGTGCAAATTCCCCCCTGGCAATGCCAGGGCAAGGGCTGGTGAGTGGCACCGAGCACAGGCCCTGCTCTGAATTCAGGGATTTTGGCCAGGCAGGACCATTTTTTGCCAAGGTGATGCCAAGGTGAGTGAGGAGGGGAAGCAGGAGCAGGAGGATGAGGTGGCTGAGAAATAATCTTCACACCAATGCTCTCTGGCAACCCCAAATCCCACCTGGGTGGGTGATGCCCTCCCATCACTCCCACTGCTCCACAAGGTCCCTGAGGAAACCCTCAGGATGGTTGGCAAGTCAGGAATAGGATTTAATTTCCCTCCTCATTAGGCTGAGCTAATGAAGAGAGGGGAGCTGGGCTGGGCTCAGGACACTGCTCAGGGCTCAAAGAGCAGGGGGGTGATGATGGAAGACCCCAAAATAGGCCACAGCTCCTGTGACTTGCAAACAGCCTCACTGTGAGGTGCCAGCCCGTAGAGCAGCTCAGGTCAGGTTTATTTTTGTGAGATGGAGAGCAGACACAGCTCAGGTAAAACCTCTCCTGCCAGCACAGCTCTGGGCCAGCCCTCGGGACCAGGACAAGCTCCACTTTGAGGAGCCCTTCACAGCTCCCCAAAAAGGTGCCAAACCCTCCTGGTTGGATTCTGAGGCATGTCCTCACCCCCTGAGCCACTTCAAACCAGCCTCACCCCCTCCCCAGGCAGCCCCCCAGCCTCGTGGGGGGAAGGAGAGCAAAGCAAAGGCACCGATCTGACTCCAGGAGCTGATCCCCAGCTTGTCCGAGCTGGATGTGCTGCCCCGAGCCCGGGGAGCTGGGATCACCCGTGGATCAGGGTGAGCAACGAGCTCAGCAGGCTCAAAAGGTGTCTCAGCAATTTGGAAACAACAAACCAGCCCATTGCAGCCCTTTTCCTCCATCCCAGAGGCCGGGGAGATCCCTGCCTGGCTGGAGGGTGGCGTCAGCCCTTTATTGATTGCTGCGCTCAGCGTGGGAGGGATTTAATTGGGATGTGGAGGTTTCTCACCCCGGTGTCAGGCTCTCAGCAGGGATGGTGCTGTGAGAGGCAGCCAAGGTTGAGCCATCCTCTTCCAAATGCTGTTTCCTGCTGGGAATCTGCTGGTGGGAAAGGGAGATTCCTCCCAGAGAGATGTTCTTGCAGTTATTAGCCACGCACTCCGTGGCAGTGCCATCCACGTGCTGGTCCTGGATCCATCCTCACCCTTTGGGTGTTCATTGCTAAACAAACTCTTGCTGGTTTATGAAGTGCTCAGAGGCTGAATTAGGGCCTGGATCGAGTATAATTCAGTTAAAGGCAGGAATGTATTGAGCAATGAAGCTGCAAACCTTTATGTGTGCAGTAAAAAGTGGGATACAGGAGCAGAGCTGGGCCGGGAGCAGGCAGCAAAATCCTGGGAGAGGTCTGGTGTCAGCACCCAGCACTGGCCAGGAAATTCCCAGGCTTCCTCACCCCTCTGATACTACAGAGGTGTGGGATAAGAGGAGCTAGAAAAGCCTGTGGTGCCCAGCCCTCTGTGGATATTTAGATCCTGGATAAAACATGCCATGATGGGAATGACTCCGCTCTGAGCTGGCAGCATTTAAACCCAAATGTGGCACTGGGGGGACCTGAGAGAATCCTGCCTGTCTCTGGGACTCTTCAGGGTAGAAATATTCCTTCCTTCAGCCCCAAGGAATTCCCAGTGGCTGGCTGGCCACAGTCTCTGTGCTCCCTGAAAAGGCTCCACGCTCCTGGCAGCATTTGCAGCACGTTTGGGCAGCTGCTCCCTGGGGAATGAGCCACAGAGCCAAGGGGTGGGCAGGAGGGGGCTGGTGGACTATTAATATCCCATTTTTATAGGGAAGTGAGGGTCAGCAGGGAATAATTGCCTCTTTCCCAGCTGAAGAACCACCAGTTGGCCTCTCAGCTCTTTGAAATCTCTGGATTTTAGCAAACAGCTCTGCTTCCCGTGGGGCTGGGGGCAGGAATGATCCCACACATTCCCCTGGGGCTCTCTTCATTAAAACCCTTGGGAATGCTGAGCAGTGTGCCAGCCCTTCCTACACACCCCATAAAACCCACAAACTATTACAGCCACGGATGGGATCCGTGCTGGGAGAGCACAGAGAAGCAGCAAAAGCAGCTCAGTGTGAATCCACACTCGGGGAAAAGACAGAAAACATCACATGGATTTCAGGGATGCTCCTTTCAGGTCGTGTCCTTTCATCTCCTGCATCTCCAGGGAAGATTGTGGTGCAGAAATCAAGAGATGCTGGGAATTGAGGCTGGGATTCACTGCATCCTGCAGGAAGGGGCAGCTGGAAAGCAGGGAATGAGCTGCTTTAGAGCTCAGCTCACCAGACCATGTCCCTGGGGCTCTGAGGCAGCTCAAACCCTTCCCAGCAGGGAAGGAGCTGCTTGGGAGAGGAGCTGAGTGAACTGGAAACTGCTGAGAATGCAGCACAGCCTCAGGAAGGATGCAGTTCCAAGCACTTCCATGGGACAGGTGAATTCAGGGGGTTTGGGGGACCCCTTGGCTGGAGAGATAAATCCAGAAATACACTTTAATTCCAGACCTGTGGCCTGGACTTGGCTGGCCTGAGGTGACCCCAAGGGTGTGACATTCCCACAGGTTCCTCCTTTCCTTCAGTGATGCCTTTTGTGGCCTGGGTACCTCCCTGATCCTACCAGACACCCCAAGGTTTGGACACCCCAATATTCAGCATCCTCCTCATTCCCAGGTGACAGCAGCAATGGGATGGAACAAACTTTTTTCCCTGCTCTTTTTCCCACCCCTCCCATCCATGCCACAGCTCCCACAGGGAATCCACCTCACAGGGAAGCAGGGGGAGCTCCTCTTCCTCGTGCCACTTGCTCTGAAAAATATGTGGGGCTCCTCTCTGTCCAATTAAAGTCCAACAATAACAAGGAAAAACATTTAATGGAAGGCTGGGAGGGGTTCTCAGCACGGGGAAGGGATGAAGGATCATCTCCAGAGCTCAGGATTTCTTGGTGCACAGCGGAGGCTCCGACCTGCTCCTGCCAAAAGGGCCCCAGGTGCGGCGGAATCGGGGAGGGCTGGGACACATGGGCCTGGGGGATGGGAGATTTCGGGCTCTGTGGGAAGGAAACCAGATGGGATTTTAGAAATCCTCTGTTTTTAAGCTGCTATTCATGTTTAAAAGTCCAGATTTCAGCTGAAGTCATCAGGGTTTCCCTTAATGAGGGGTGGGGTGATTTCTGCTGACATGAAAATGAGAATATTTTTTCCCATCTAAATTTGGGCAAATATCCTCTGCTAGTTTGAAGGGTGGGATTTGCTCCAGCATCTTGCACTGGAATGAAGTTAAAGTGCTAAACCAGGAATCTTGCACCATTCCCTTACGGAGCAGACAAGGAATGTGCTGCCCTCAGCAGCTCTGGAGTAAACAGGCACAAAAATAAAAACCTCGATCCACAACCCATTCCTTGCTATCCCTGCAGCATTCCCACCCTCTGTTCCCATTCCCAGAACACCAGCAGCTTTCCTGGCTGCCACAGGCACAGAAGCAAAGTTTCCAGGAGTTGCACATGACTCTAGAAGGAAACAAAAATTTTGGATTTGGCACCTCAAGGCCCTGCTGGAGCTGCTGACCCCCTGCAGCCAGCTGGGAAATGACAGGAATTACACCTTTTCCACCTGATCTCAGCCAGGCTGGCACTGACAAAGAGCTGCAACAGGGCCAGGGAGCCAAAAGTCCTGTGGAATATCTTGGAACAGTGTTTTAGGTCTTAGGAAGTCATGATCTCATCATTTCATTTCTTGGGAACGGGGAGAAAAGCAACCTCATGGATGAAAATTTTGGTTCCAAATTATCCCCACAGCTCTGGGAGCAGGAAATTCATTTTCCTGGGTTTGTATATCTGTCAAACACGGTTTAATTCTCTTTTTAGTGTTTTTATGCTGGTTTGACACCACTGATTTGGGTGTAGCAGTGCAAGGGAAGGCACATTGGGATCTGCTGTCTTGGATTGCTGAATTTTAGAGCTGCTGACTTGAGGAATACCCTCTCTCAGGTATTCCTACAAAGAAAGGTTCTAGAATGTTCCTGACCACCCACTCCAGGGGATTTCTCCCTCACCTCCATCCAGATTCCAGTTTTGGAAGCTTCAATCTTTGGGTTTCAGCTTTGCCGAGTGCTTCCCTCCTGCCTCACAGCTCTCCACCCTCTCCCGCCACTTCCCAGGAGAGTTTTTTGCTCTCCTGCAGCTCTTCAAGGTCCTCCCAACTCCCCCACATCTTATGCCATCAAGAAACTCGGACACTTTTCATGCTGTGCCTCCCTCAAGGTCACAAATTTCAAAGGGGACCTGAACACTCTGAGTGCTGTTCCCTTTTCCCGGCTTTTTTTTTTCCATGATCTCTGCTCTCTGTTCCTGTGGGGTTAATTCATCTCTTTTCAAAGCCCTCCTCCAACTGAAGCTGGCTAAGTCAGTGATAGCTCTTAAAAAAAAAAAAATTAAAATTTAGCTCCTAAAAATACCCAGGGAAGACAAGCAGGGCGGGATTGAGCGCTGCAGCCGGGAAGGGCGAAGTGCTGGGCTGCAGCTGGAGAATGTTTTGTCTCCCATCCCTCAACTCCGTCATGTCCTCCGTATGTTCCAGCAAATTCATCAGGCATGACTCACAGACCTTCCCCGTGCACATTCCTGTCTGCTGACCGCCCCTTCCTAAAATTAGACTCGACTTTTGTTGGTTCAGTCACGGGGGAAGGTGAAGAGCTGCAGACCCACGTCCCTTCCTCGTGTCACAGCCGGCTTTGGAAGGGACTTTAATTCCAGGATGGGGAGGATGATCTGTCTCCTTCCTCGGCTTGTCATTGGCACTGCTGCTGCAGGGAGGGTGAGGATGGTGAGGGATCCCACCCTGGGGAATTCTGCTTCATTCCATGAGGGCCAGGCCCTGGGAATGAGAATGCTCTGGGTCAACACCAGCTCCATTGTTAGTCCAGAGAGGAATGACATCCCTCTGTGGAATCACAGACTTGCTGCTCCTCCTAAAGTCCTAAATTTGTGTGAATTCAGCCATTCAGTGGCTTTTTTTCTGACTGAGAATCAGTCTGGCTCGAATGGCTCCTCCAGACATTTTATTCCTAAGGCTCTACCTGCTGGCTGTGAAAGGAACGAGGGATTGCTGTGCCAAGTGACCTTCAGCTGGGGAATTCTGATTCTGTCCTCCTCTGTTCCTGAGGGAACATTCACCAGGAGTGATGTCAGACACTGACACTACAGCTTGAATATTTTCAGCTCCATCCAGGCATCTGGGAATGACCATAAATCCAACAAGTGTCACTGGAGATGGGTACAAGTGCACCCCTCTTGTACTGGTGAGCTGTGCCAGCCCCAAAGGGGTGGTTATAATGAAATAAAAGTATTAATTTCTCATAAAAATTGGAATAAAATTACTCTTCCTCACCCTACTGACCTCCTGGGGCTACTCAGAGCATTCACTGTTTTGGGTTGAGAGCAGAGCTGAAGATTGTGAATGAAATTTCACCAGAGGAGTGGGAACAGAGTCCAACTGGAAGAGCTGTGCCAAGCCTAGGAGGCAAAACCTTCCCAGGAAGGGCTTTGGATTGGGCAGCTCCCTTGGGAAGAGGCTCCTGGGGAGGTTGTGCAGGAGCCCAGCTCTTCTTGGCAAGGCTGGGAGGATCCTGCTGGAAATTCAGCTGCACTCTGGAACTGGGAATAAACACAGAGCCTCAGCTCCTGCTCTCCTGCCCTTTCCACATCACAATATCCACCGTGTCCTGGCAGCTCCAAGTGGATGTGCCACTGGATGTGCTCTGATATCAGCCACAAAACATTGCAAGGAACATTTTCTGCCAGGGAAAAAACACAAGGAACTCTCCCAGTTATTCCACTCCCGTGCTTCAAATCTCTGGAATGCTCCTCAAAGCATTCAGAGTGCACAGGTCCATGGCAGAGCTGGAATTTCCTCCCAGCTGTCACTGTCAGGCTGTGACAGGGAAAAATGTGGCTGGGGAGGATGGATGACATCAATGAGCTGCTCAGGGCTTGGCTGTGGTGTTCAAGGAATTCTTCCCAAGGGTTGGGTATTTCACACATGGAGTTGTGGAATGGTTTGGGTTGGAAGGGACAGAAGATCAGCCAGTCCCACCCCCTGCCATGGGCAGGGACACTTTGCAGTGTCTCAGGTTGCTCCAACCTGGCCTTGGACACTTCCAGGGATCCAGAGACAGCCACAGCTTCTCTGGGCAACCTCCACCACCCTCCCAGGGAAGGATTTCTTCCCTACATTTAACTTAAATTTCCTCTCTATCAGTTGGAACCCGTGTTGAATGTAACTCTTATTCTCAGCTGACATCTCCTAGCTCCACCCTGGGAATCGAGACCTGGAGTGCCTGCCATTTCCAGGTCACAAATCCAAAACAGATCCTGAGGAAGGTCCTTTCCCACTCCTTTCCTTGCCCTTGCTGTGTCTCCTGTCCCTGTAAAGGCTCTGCTCTCCCTCCTTGCAGACAGCCCGTCGGCTCCAGTAAATGTCACAGTCAAACACCTGAAAGCCAACTCGGCCGTGGTCACTTGGGATGTCCTGGAAGATGAAGTTGTCATTGGATTTGCAATTTCCCAACAGGTACCGTGCCTAGAATTACCCAGTTTCAGCCATGTCCATCTCCCCCCAGGTTCCCAAATCCTCTTGCTGCAGTTTAAGCCCATTCCTTCTCGTCCTGTCCCTCGTGGTCCTGGAGGGGATTTGGCTCCCCCGTCCCCTTTGCAGCAGCTCTTTGTGCCTTGGTGGCTGCAGAGAGGGAAGGATCCTGATGGTTTCTCCACATCCACGTGGTGGGCAGGGCAGGAATCAGTGGCCTTAGGTGACAGCAAATGCACATGGAGAGGCCTCTCCACCACTCTGTGCTCTCCTCTCTCGGCTTCCAGAAGAAGGACGTGCGGATGCTGCGCTTCATCCAGGAGGTGAACACCACCACCCGCTCCTGTGCCCTCTGGGACCTAGAGGAGGACACTGAGTACATTGTGCATGTCCAGTCCATCAGCATCCAAGGCCAGAGCCCTGCCAGTGAGCCAGTCCTCTTCAAGACCCCCAGGGAAGCTGAGAAACTAGCCTCTAAAAATAAAGGCAAGTGTGGGTGAGTTCCTACGTGGCCCCTGGGACACAGGGCTCCACAGAGAGGAACCAGGATCCTGTGTGGTGAGAGGAGCTGGGAGAAACCCTGGGTGATAAATAGGATAAACCCTGTGAGATAAACACTCATGGAGCTGAGTGTCCTCTCAGGACGTGCTGAGGGGACAAGATGGAAGGGGAACAAGGTGCCAGGGAGGTGCTGCTGCAGGTGGCTGCTCCTTCTCCCATCTCAGGTGAGATTTAACAAAGTAAGGAGGAGGTTTACAGCTCTGTTCTGCTCCCTGCAAGTGGAGAATGCCAGGGGGAATTCCTGCCCAGCCTGTGAACTCATGTGGAGCCAGCCCCCCTGGATGGCACTGGGCACACCACTGTGCTCACAGGGCACTTGTGGGATTCAAGGTGCCTCCTGTGCTTGGGTTTCAGGGAAAAAAATACCCAGAGGCTCCCACTTTTCTTATATTTTCAATATTTCTGCCAAATCACAGAGAGCTGAGCTTGGAAGGGACCTCACCCAGGCAGGGTTAAGTAGAGCAGGTTGTCCAGGATCCCATCCAGCTGGGTTTTCATTATCTCCAGGGAGAAAATCAGGCACTTCCTCACTGGCAACTCCTTCACTTGTTCCTCTTTAGCCACACCAGGCTCTTGAGGGTTTTCTGTCAGCAAGAATCCTGCTCCAAAGAGGGCCTGGAAGCACAGGGCTGTGGGGACACCCAGGTCCCCCCCTGGCTGCTGAGGGCCCAGCCTGTTCCAGGGCTTTTGCCCGTGGTTCTGAGCATGTGAGTCCTTGACTCTCTTCATTAAACTGATTTGGAGACTGTAAATCCTGAATTGCTGTTTATCTGGAAGCACTAAGAGGAGCACTGCTCCTTTCCTGGGGGCCTGAACTGTAATCTCCTTAATGCTTTGAAGCCAAGGAGGTGAATTCCGCCCTGCAAAAAGGCTCTGCTCCTTCCTGAATCCCAGGGCTCTGCTG